TAAACCTGACAAGCTCAGCAGAGGCTTACATGGAAGGCCTTACAAACTCAAGAGACAGAAAGTCATTACACAGGATAGGCTTGCTATTGGTGGGCTGCTCTTCGTGTCCCACTTGTTGCTGATGGAAGTGGGCTTCTTGCGATGTCATGAGAAAATAAATTTTCTGAGACTCACAAAAAAGAATGGGTGACATTTATTTGCATAAAATTATACTCATGAGTTTCCAAGATCCCTCTCCCTCCATCCTGCCAAGGAAAAAGTCCAGGTGTGCCATCAGCAGAGCTAAGGTTAAAGCCATTGTCCAGAGTTTCTATCCCATATTTGCACAGTCCAGCATCAGGCCAGCTTAGCTTGTATTTCCAGCTGCAGTCCATGGTGTGTGGGGTCCACATGGCAGGCTAGCATACCGGCAAGTGCAAGGAAGCAGGAGTGAAGCAAGAGCAATGAAAGAGAGAGAATTTGTCCTTGGGAATTTAATTTTACAAGATTAAAATGCAGTGGCTCCATTCCCTCTAGCAAATCCATTATTCTCTAGGTTAGGCTGACAGGCAAGTATCTTCCATACATCACCCGACTTTACTGCACATGACTCAATTCTCCCTTTCTCCTAGTGATCTGTAGGGAAGGGACTGATAGTTCTGTGGGGAGTGTGAGACGCAGCTTCCTGGTGAGGTTGCCTAGATGACCTGCTTATAATGTCTGACCTCCCTTTTGCTCCTTTCCTATTATATTATTAACATCAACTAGCTAGTTACAACAGTAACAGGTTTGAACATAAAACTTCCTAAGTAAAAGTGGGGCATGGTAGGTAGTCATGTGCTAGGCCTGTAGCTTCCTTGTTAAAGGTAAATCTTTACCTTTGAAATTGTCTACTGTCTAAGACAGGGGTGGGGAAGGCCATTTGGATATTTATAGCATCATTTGTGGACCATATAAAATTATCAACTTAAAAGTTAGCCTTTTATATTTGGTCAGACACTTAATCAACTCATCCCTAGTGCCTTGGCAGAGCCAGATCAACTGATTCCGAGGGCTTTATTCGGCCTGAGAGCTGGAAGCCCACCACCCCTGATCTAAGATAACGTACCTTTAAAACGTCAGAGTAATTTTCTTTTCTAAACCTCTGGAAAGCACAAAGGCCAGCACAAGGTCACATTGTTATCTGCTTCCCCACATACCATCTCTATGTGCTGTAAATGTTAACTATCCTGACCCACTACGGTAAAGGAAGTACGTGTCTCTCCATTTTGCTTTTCAGCCAGTCTCAGAGATTTCCCCACTTCTCTACAGCCCCCTAAATCCGCCACCACTAGATTTCATGTAACCCTCCTCTGTGTCCTCCTTCGATTCTAATGTATAAAATAAGTCACAAAACTGCCATTCTTCTGAGCATTATTTTTAATCCCAACTCTTTTAAATTGCTTCCTGGCAATTGACATCAGTTAACTCAAATAAACTCTTACAAATCTTTTCTAAGGCTGGACATCCTTTCATTGACAGGCCCTATATTTCCAGAAACGCAGGGCCAACTGACTATGAAGTAGAAGTTCATTATTGTCAGATCAAACTTTTTTAAAAAAATATATTTTATTGATTTTTTACAGAGAGGAAGGGAGAGGGATAGAGAGTGAGAAACATCAATGAGAAAGAATCATCAACCAGCTGCCTCCTGTACACTCCCCACTGGGGATGTGCTCACAACAAATGTACATGCCCCTGACCGGAATCGAACCTGGGAACTTTCAGTCTGCAGACCGACGCTCTATCCACTGAGCCAAACTGGTTTTGGCAGATCAAACTTTTTAATGAAAGTAATCCATCAAGTATTGTCATATTTGGAAGAGTGGTTTACAGGCTGAATCTGGGAGACATCACCAATGAAACACCCATTATAAAGCACTAGGGGTCCAGTGCATGAATGCATGCACCTTGAAAGGAACTGTGGGCTCCAAGGCTGTGGTGGAAACAGGGGTGGGTCTTGACCCATCATCCACACTCCACCTGACCCCTCCCATCACAGCCCTGACCCCCTATCTGCCGGCAGCCCCACTCCTGTCACGGCACCCACACACCATCAGAGGGTGCAGCAGCAGCTGTTTCCCTGATCACCCCTCAGGAGCAAAAGAGGCTAGAGGAGCCTGAGGGGCTGTCAGGGCCGGCAGCCGCTGTGCACCCTCACTGCTGCTGCCTAGCGATTGGGGCTGGTGCTAGCAGCGGGTGCGAGTGCCGGCTGGGACTGTGGCACATGGGAGCAAAGAATGTTCAGTAACCACAAGAGGCTCACTCCAGTCACTGCGATCAGCGCCTTGCCTTGGTCTGGAACCCGTACTTACCTGCTCCACTATCCCACCCCGCCAACGCTCACCATGTTCCATGCTCTGCTACCTGCTGGCGATGCCCACTATGTTACATGTGTGCCCCTGGTGGTCAGCGCACGTCATAGTGACTGGATGTTTGGTTGTTTGGTTGTTACACCGTTCAGTATATATATTGTCTTGATATATTGTCTTGCTTATTCTGTCTTTTATTTGTATTTACAGCATTGCCTGTCCCTCTATTAAAGAATTCTGTTTCTTAAGATAGCTCACAACTGTCAATAGCTGACCTGTTTTTTTCTAACAAGAAGTACACAAAAGCACAAGGCTGGTTTTCAATAGGAAAATGGGAGTTTCAAAATGACATCAATCAGCACAGAAGAATATAGATTGCATTTAGTTTTGACCTGTATTAGGCGGGTCAGACAGCAAAGGTAGCATTTCAAGCAAAAGACAATGTCTAAGAAAAGAAAAAAAGTAAGGATAGACCTGCCAAGAAACAAGCCAGAGAGAGAGGAATGCCATAACATCAGGCTTATAGGGCATGCTGAGCTCTTTGCCTTTTATTGATGACAGAGCCATAAAAGTTTGAATGGGAGAGAAACATGACCAGATTTGCACTTCAAAAATAGTGATTCCTTTAGGTGAAGAAAACTCTTTGTAAATGTCCTAAAGAAATATAGTGGCTTTCTGTTCACCCTTTGCAAGTGGAAAAGGTGGATCGTTCCTCTACTGACATATATATAATTAAAAAGATAATGATAGCAAACATGTATTGAGTTCTTTCTCCACTTTTGATACATAGTCTCAACAGGCAGCTCTATGAAGCTAGATAGGGTAAGAGGGGACAAGCTCTGGAAAAGCAGGGAAATTATGAACAGCCTTTTGGTAACTAAACTACTTTCAGGCATATGTGAATATGTGCCAGATACTAGACCAATAAGCATTTACAGAAACTATTTTATTTAAATACAGGTGGCATTTTACCTACATCTTCAAGGTTGCTACTGAGGCTATAAGAATTCTTTAAATAATCATGTCCTGTTACAACTGCACACTTTCACCACAGGCAGAAAACAGACGCTCTGGTATCAGCGTGTTCAGCAAGCCCCTCCCAGGAGTCCCAGCTGAGATGCTGCTCTTGGGATCCCAGGATGGTGTGAAATGGGTGAAGAGGGTGAGACTCCTCTCCATTCTCTTCTCCAAGAGGGAGCCTTTGGCAAAAATGTTTTAGTGCTTTGGAAAAAAGCACTGACTAGTCCATTGAAAACAAATGGGCTAGGTCGTGCATTATTTAACCAGGCTGATAATGCGCTGGTTAACTTTGCTTGCATTTCTCTATTCGTGGTCCAGCTAACTACAGGCATTAGGGAGGAAAAAGCCAAGGATCTTCAGTTAAAGTTGATAAAGGCCACAAATACAAAGTGTGGGGGGAAAGCAAGGGAGTTCAGCATTCGGACTCAGGTCACTACACTGGAATGTCATTGGGTTCTGTAGTGAACCACAGATGATCGATCACAAGTTTGGAAAACAGGGCAAGACCATTGAAGGGTAGATGCTTTAGGGCATAACACCCCAGCTTTGGGCTGGCAATGGCAGTGGGGGCTGCAAAGAAGGAGAGGCCAGTAGGGAGCCCTTCTTGGGGTCAGGTCAGAACCCTGTGTCCATTCTAGGCTTGGACTCTCTTCCCGCCCTCACCTGGTTGCCAACCCCTGAGATTGGTCTAAACCTCCCCAAACTCCGGGATGAAGGCTGTCTGGGCAGCTCCAGCCCTCTCCCGGGCTCCTCCGGATAGGAAAATCCACCCTTTCCTCCTCGGTCAGCACGGCATCCTGGACATTGCATGTGGCGCTGACTCTGCACAGGGAAATCCTCTAGAGATAGGGGCTGGGTGGGAACCTTTACAACGACTTTCATCTCCTTAAAGACATTCAGGAAACCGGTTTTGTTGGGAGAGGGCTAGTTAGTCTCCTAAGGTTCGGGGTAACAGTCTGTTGAAGTGAGGAGGACATTGCTTTAAATATGTCTTCATCCTGCATCTTCATCCCACCTGTACCCAAGGCAAAAGGTGGCTGGTAGGACAGGTACACACAGAGGTGAGGAATTTCGGGGGGGGGGGGTGAGTTGGGGGAGGGCAGAGTGGAGAAGTTGAGGGGTAGGGGAGAATGTCTCAGCAAGCACAGTAAAGCCATCAAATTAAAAATGCCACCCTCTTCGCCAATTTCCGAAAGACTTTTTAGGTGCCAGGTGTCCTAACCTCTTTTCCTCACCCAGGAGCCCCCATCCTGGACTCCAGGGGGCTTTTGAGCCACAAGAAAGTCCTCATGGAGGGTCCAAACAGGTGCAAGAGCATCTCCTGTCTCTCTAAGGACGACCACGGGGCCATTGCATTTGTCTGTCACTCCACACCATCTCAGTGATAACGGGGTGCGGGCTGTAGGGGTACTCTGAACCCTGAGTCTTTCACTCTCCCCTCCCCCGGGTGGGCCAGTCCTGTCCGGGGCAGCCATGAACCACGTGCCCTCAGGCTCGCACTGCCCTCCGGCTTCGGGGAGAAGTGGCTGCGGGACGGGCAGCCCCCGGCCCCTTCTCAGCCGAAAGGGTCCGGGAGGGGAAGGTCTCAGGCCAGAGAAGGGCCGCCTCACAACTCACAGAGCGCCCCCACCCACCCCCGGCCCGGCTCACCCTCCGGTCTCGGCTCCCGAGTCCACACAGTCGTCATCCTCGCCGCCACCCGCCTTGGGGTCCATGGCGCGCTCCCCGCCGCGCTCCCCTCGCGGGCACCGGCACCCGCACCGGGTGGCCTGGAAGCGCTCCCTCCCCGCTCCGCCCCGCGCAGCGGACCCGGTGCAGCCCGCGGCCAGCCTCCCCGTCCCGCCGCCAGCGACAGCTCCGGCTCCGCCCGCGGCTCCGTGCCGCGCCCCCTCCTGGCCGCGCCGGGCTGGGCACCGCGGCCGCTCCCTCCCCGCCCCGCCCTCGCCGCGAGAGCCTGTGCGCGCGGGCGCGCGCGGGTGCGCGGGTGCGCGCGGTGCCTGCCTGTGCAAGGTGGTGTGTGCGGGCGCAAGAGGGTGTGTGCACGAGATGTAAGCGTGTGCGCGAAGAGCATGTGTAGCTCGCGTGTGGCGCGCCTATGTGCGGTGTGCGTGCATGAGCGGGAGGGTGTGTGAGTTCGCGTGCGCCTGTGTTGGTGGTGCGATGTGGGTGGGCGGGTGAAGTATGCATTTGTAGGTGCACACTTCTGTGTATGTGTCAAACGCGTTTGCTCTTGTGCCCGCTTGTGACCGTGTGTGGTGTGTGAGTGTATGTATGGTGTCCACAGTCCGTGAGCCAGACCCCCAGGCATCGCCCCCTTGGTTCCCCAGCCTCACAGTTCCTGAGCCTGGCGCTGGTGCAGGGAGAAACACCGTGTCGCACCCTGAAAGCAAGGAGGGATCTGTTTCACTCCTGTGACCACTTGGAGCATCTAGGTGTTTTCTTATATTTTCCTCAGAATTGCCTACACTGAATTCATTACCACCTTTCTTAGCACAGGTATGGGTGGCTTCCCACCATCCAGCTTGTCGGTTTACAATGGGCATCTTGCATTCTTTTTGTTTGTTTGTTTTTGTTTTTTAAACAGGGCTGTACTTCAGTCAGGAATTGTTGTAGTAAGGGAATAATGGGTGTTCGTAAATACCACTTCAAGGACTCAAGGTGAGTTAATGATCACTATTGGAGGGTAAGGCCAGATGGGAGTGAGAGGAAAGGGAAGATCAGAACAATTGGGATTTAATTCTGACAGTTCTGACCTAGCCATTAAAAGGCAATCATTCCTACTTTCTTCTTTTTGGAGGCAAGTTATTTAACCTCTTTAAGACTTAATTTACTTATTTATAAGATAGAGCTAGTTATATGTACCCTATAGTTTGTTGTGAATTTAATGAGTTCACATATGTAAAATGCTTAGCATTGGCCCCAATACATGCCAAGCACTAGTCAAGACAGCTGTCATTACATCTCAATCTCAACTTGCAAAGCTGTGTCACTCTGGATGACAAGTGATATGGATGAAGAGGAATATAATTTCTTTCCCCCTCCCTTCTCTTTATTTCTTCCTTACCATGTACCTACCTAAAGATCACTTATTTCTGACTCTTATTTAAATTACACAAAAGAGAAACCAATTAGCGAAAGAATAGAGAGCAATCTTATCATCAGGAAAAATCAGGTAAATATGCCAACTATAAATCTTAACTGAATTTTCCTTTTACATAAAACAGAAATGGATATATTCTACTCAATTTGTGCTCATTAGCAGAAAGAATGGAGCAAGTCAAGGAGGATTTCCCCCCACCCCTATGTACTGATTGCTAAAAGAAAAGTCTCACAGGAGGCAAAAGAAACCCGGTGAGTGATTCACTACACAATGCCATTAATGACCTTTTTAAAGGTATCAATGGATTCAATGACTATTTAACCAGACAGGAGGGTGAATTCTGAATGTAGAAATAAGAGAAAACAGAAACAGATGATGCCTACCCCCCTTAGAGACCTTATAAATCCAGACTAAATAAGTAAATTATATGACATAACACATAAATGGAGATAGATCTTTGAGGTGAAAGAACAGTGTGCCCTGAGAACAAAAGAACACAATTTAAATGTGAGCTCCCTCAGAAAGGGGTATTTTAGCCTTCTGCTGTAGCAGGGCCTTTGCACTTGAGCTGTTCCTTCTCCTGGGATACTGTCTTCCAGATTTCCTGCAAGACTCCTGACACCAACTAACGCACACCACAGAACCCTCTTACCCCTCTCGACTCCTTCCTGCAACTCTGCCAGCATCTGGCATATGGTAGATTTCTTTAATTACCTGCTCTTCCATCTCCAACTTTACCCCAAAAATGCCAACTCCATGTGAGCGGGGGCTTTGTTTTGTTCACTGCTATATACCCAACACCTGGAGCAATAAATAGATATAATATATCCATTTCTATGTTGTATAAAAGGAATGTAATACTCTGCAAGGACAATTCAGTTAAGATTTGGGGTTGGCACATTCACCTGTTTTTAAATTCTCGATTATGACTTTGCATTCCTATTCTTCTCTGAAAAAGGGGGTGTAAGAGAAGCAGCCCTCAAGTGAAGGTGGGCCATGAGGAGAGTGTTCCAGGTGGAGACCAGCAAGAGGTAGAGGCACTGGGGTTTGATCAGAGGGGGAGCGAAGGAAAGCTAGGTGAGCAGAACCCAAAACGGCAAAGATGATAGTGAGACATGCCTACTAGTACATAAACATGACATCTCCAGGAAATCAACGGGCAATTGTAGCCTATTTGTAAAACAGAAGTGCCAATGAAACCAGATGAACAGGAGTAATAGAAGTGGGAACATAGGTAAGTATATTGAACATTCTGCCATCTTATTATCCTTATAGCTACGAAAGAAACTACCTCTGTCTATTCTGTGTAAGTAATTCATATTTGTCAAAGAAAGATCTGTGAAGTAGGTATAGTTTTCCATTTTTCTGTAGAGGAAACTAAACCCCACTGAATTCAAGGGCCTGCCCCAGGCCACTCAGTGAGTGAGAGGAAGTGCCAGATGGCCCTTTAATGCAATGGAGCTCATGTCATCTACCTGGATGGCTTATGGATGGGCCAGCTGCACCCTCAGCAAGATGGCATAAAGACAAAGGTCAGAGAAGAAAAGAATGAAATTAGCATGGCCCTTAGAAAGAGGACAGGAGAAAATGAGATGGTACTTAAATTATTTCACTCTTTTTTAATTATCCAGACAAAAAGCCTGGGCCACATCTCAGAATGGTGCATTTGATTCAGATCCCCTGGACCTCAGGGACACAGTGTTATCATTGGCACAGCATCTAACGGCAACTCCATAATGAGTTTATTATTTGGATGGAAAGTTTGAAGGGTAATCACTGTCCCTCTGAGCAGACATATCATGGATCTGTGTGGGTTCCCACTTTAGACACTGAGTCTTAGAAGCCTCACTTTATTTGTTATTTTTTCAGAAACAGAGCTGTTGGCAGGGAATTGGTCCAGGGATTTTGCAGTGATCACAGTAGGATATCTTGTCCAAACCTTGCATGGCTCCCAGGCTCTACTTCCAGCTATTTAGCATCAGTCACTTTAATGGTGGAGGGTGCGATACCCTCTCCCCACTCCCCCTGTAAGATGGCAGCAGAGGAGTGTCACTGGTCTGCTTAGGGTTTCCTGCTCTGCTGTCCTAAAGACGATCCCATCAGAGTCTGAGAACAGCGTGGGAGGAACACTGAGGAAGTGGGGAAGTGTGATAGGCCAGAATGTGGGCAACCTGACCTCTGGACCTGAATTTGTCATGTCACTAGAAGAAAGTGTAGACCATCAGCTGTTCTCATTACTACATGTCAGGCATGTGGTAGGGACTTTACATACATGATCTCTCTAATCCTCAAAAATGCCTTTGAGGCCCCCATCATTCTTAAAATGGAGGCGTTGAATCTGTCTAGAAACTATGAAACATCCTATCTAATAAAGAGGGAATATGCTAATCGACCTCACACCGTCACAAAGATAGCGGCACCCACAGCCAATAAGGAGGAAATATTCTAATTGACTGTCCCACCCTCAAAGATGGCAGTGCCCATAGCCAATACAGAGGAAATATGCTAATTGACTGCCACACCCTCAAAGATGGTGGCACCCAGTCCCCTCAGCCCTGCCGGGCTGCAAGGCTGGGCCCGCCCCCACCATGCACCTGCCTCTGGAGTCCCCCAGTCCTCTCAGCCCCCCAGCCACCCAGGGCAGCCTCGAATAGCAGCTGCCCAGCTGCCCAGGGCTGGCCCGAGGCACAGGCAAGCTTCATATGGCGGCTGCCCAGCTGCCCGAGGCTCAGGAAACCAGGGCTGGCCAAGGCTTGTGTTGCCAGCAGTGGCAGCAGCAGCGGTGTGATGGGGCATCGCCTTCCCCTGATCACTGGGTCAGCTCCCACCCCTGAGGGCTCCCAGACTCTAAGGGAGGCAGGCCAGGCTGAGGGACCCCTCCCTCCAGTGCATGAATTTTCATGTACCGGGCCTCTAGTCTTATATAATAAAAGCCTAATATGCAAATTGTCCCCTAGGACTGTTGTTTGACTAATGGTTAGACTGGGAGACCGAGATTTTGACCACTTGATATGACATGCGCTGACCACCAGGGGGTGGTGCAGAACATGGCAGGTGTTGGCGACACAGAGTTGGCAGCGGCAGCAGTGGAGGCGCTGCCAGCCCTAATGGGCCCTGACAAGAGCGGGACTGTGGTGTGATGGTGGAGCAGGTGAGCGGGCAGCGCCAGGCCAAGGTTGGTGTGAGCAGGGGCCTTACTGCCCTGCTAATTGCCCCACAGGCGGTGACCAGCTGTGGCAGTGGTGGGGGTGGGGCTGCCGCTGGGCTCCCTGGTGCTGAGGGAGCTATGTGGGGGCCCAGCTCTGACCAATCATCCCCGGGATGATGGAGCAGGTAAAGGGGTGGTGCCAGGCCAAGGCAGGTTGCCAGATAGGGCTACTGGGGTGCAAGGATGGGGTGTGAGCTGGGGACTGATCTCCAAAGGCCACCCCAAGGAACATCAACCATGCATGAATTCATGCACCAAGCATCTAGTATGAATATAAGATGTCACTGACTTTTTAAGCACTTTTTCTCAACCAGGTCTCAAAATCCATATTTTATTTCATCACAGTACTATTTTAAGTCTTCGTTGATGCTATTGCATGTGTTAGTATTACAAATACAAGGTCATTC